TGAAGAATGAGGGGGCAGAGTTGGTTGTGTGTACTCCGGTAAGTTCTATGTTGTAAACTTCAACTGTATTTTATTAAAGGCCTTATTGATTCCAATTACGTACTTATTCCTCACCGAAATCCTCCATAGTTTTTGTGGTATTGATCTGAAAGGGTTTGTTTTAGGGACGAATAATTGACTTGGTGAAAATCGAAGCGACAAATTTTTCGCGAACAACGTTCTTGGTATTCGACGAGGCTGATCGGATGTTTGACATGGGTTTCGGTATGATTTTTTGTGTTTATTTCACTGTTTATCAAACACTAGCGGTTGTTCCGTAAAATGAGTGAATCCATTGCAGAAGCACAGGTGAAGTCAATTTCCGACCATATTCGTCCCGATCGCCAATGTCTAATGTTCAGTGCAACGTTCAAACACAAGGTAACAGTTGAAGTTGCAAAAGCATTTTTAACTCACTGTCCTTTTTTAATTGTTGGGTTTAGTGAAATTTTCTTCGTAAAACCAATTGATGTGACTGTTTTTTCCCCGTTCACATTTTTCGTGTGATTTTAATTTCATAGGTGGAGCGTTTGGCGAGAGATGCTTTGTGCGATCCAGTACGCATTGTACAAGGAGAAGTAGGCGAGGTCAGATTACTCACTGATTTTGACTTGGAGACTTACTAACGCTTCAAGCTTTCGAACTCCGGACTCATTTGCTTTTCAGCTTAATTATTTCTATTTCTATTCTCTATTATTCTTGCCCTATTTCAGGCTAATGCTGACGTAATACAAACGGTAGAGGTGCTACCACGGCAAGACACCAAGTGGGTGTGGCTCACAGAGAGGCTTGTGAATTTCGGCACAAGTAAGTTGAGATTTGACATAAGGCTCAATTATGTGAAATTTTTGCCCAATTTTATCCATATTCTGATGCTTACATAGCAAATTTTGCTTCCAGTGGGTAAAGTGCTCATCTTTGTTACCAAGAAAATCAATGCCGAAGATCTTGCGAAAAAATTGAAAGTAAGTTTTCAACAATTGAAGCACATGTTCTGGATAATGCAAAGCATTTCCTTTTGTTTCTACAGGCTCGCGATTTCGATCTTGTGTTGCTTCATGGAGATATGCTGCAGCACGAACGAAACGAACACCTTCAAGCGTTCCGCAAGAAAGTAAATATAATGGTAGCTACAGATGTCGCAGGTTGGCAATTTGACTTATCTATAATAGAGGGCACGTAGAGTTCTTGAGTTTTTCATTTGACTTGTTACAAACACGTGTTAGATGGACTGGAACAGTTTTTCTCTCGTGTTTGGGGTCGGCTTTTCTTAACAAGCACTAACAAAACTTAGTTTCGCGTTTTGAATTTGCCCTAAATGAGCAAAGTGCATTGGACTCATGCGGTGTGCTTTTACGTTCCAAAAAGCTCGCAAATTGTTAGCCTGAGTCCATTTCAATATGTGCGCTTTGGCGAAATTTAGCATCTGTCGTTTTGCTTGCTTATTTACTCTTTCTTCTCCAAGGTTTCTTCGGCATAAGGTCATGCAACACTAAAATTCCCTTGCAAAAAGGGTCTTATAGAAGCGTTCCCGGTATTTCTCGTCATTCTCTTTTTAAAAGACCGGTCGTTCAGCACTGACAGTCACATATTGAGTCTCATGCCCCATATCCTGCTATGTGGAATGACTTTCTGTAGTGAACGAAAAAGCTTCGCTTGCGAACACGTCGATTTTGTTAGACTAGATTCTGTTAGACTGAGTAGATTAAGGAAATGGAACTTGCGTTTCTGTAAATGACGCGCAGGGAGCGTTACAGCTGCTTTGATTCGCGAAATGCGAAATTTTGAGAGGGTCTGTTGCTGCACAACATACACCTGTGAGAGAATGTTAGGATGAAGCGCTAGTATGGTAACTTCTCCTGCAAATCGGGGTAATTGATTGGGGTATGGCCTCGCGAAGCGAGGTAATTCGATGGCTGAAATGTTTAGCACGCGGTCTTGACATCCCGGAGATTCGTACCGTCGTGAATTATGATCTTGCACGTGACATCGACACTCATGTTCATCGAGTCGGGCGAACAGGACGAGCAGGTAGATTAACCTCACTTCTTTCGGTTGCAAGTAGCACATCACTTGTCATGAGATTATAAGTTTGTGAAGTAGTGGTAGAATATCTACTGTGTTCCATCGTTCATTTTATTTTTATACATGTCAAAAGACACGTTTACTGCGATTTATCAAATAAGTGAATAGTTAGGAGATATAGAAACCCATCACCTATTGCTATACTTACCTTTTTGATTACTTCAGGCCAAAAAGGATGGGCGTATACCCTGATCACCGATAAGGACATGGAAATGGCTGGACACTTAGTTCGCAACCTAGAAAGTGTCAACCAAGAGGTTGGTCATCCTTTGACTTATTCGAGCGAGCAGAGAAAGGTGGCTTTTTACAGCAATGAGCGACTGGTTACAGGTTCCACCAGCTCTTTTCTCTCTTGCAATGAAATCTGCTTGGTTCCGCTCACAACGTGGTGGTGGATCTGCTGCTAAGCCTCACGCCAGACTTGGTCTCGGCTATAAACCAAAAACTCGACCAGCTCCCGGTAGCGGAGGTAAGCCATCTCTTCACGCAATGTAAAGTGTATCACGCTGGAATTTTGGTGGTTGGTTAACCAAATCAGTCATATTTAGCAGCTCAACTTGACCCTCTGAAAGAGCACAAACCGCGCGGTGCAACCAATCTTACAGTACGTGACGCAATAAGAGCTGCAACGAGTAATCAGTAAGTCTTTGGTATATAAAGAAGCTTTTGAACAGCTTGTCTCCAAGTTTTGGGTCTTATTAGGGTTAAGATTGTCATTTTTCTTATCTCCATTTATACGTTTTCAGGGGACCTGCGGCTGCCGCGCCAAACGATAGGCTTCAAGCGATGAAGAATGCCTTCAAGGTTAGCGCCTTTAGCTTTTAAAATTAATATCGAGTAGTTAGAGCAGCGTACGTTTTGATACCTATCTATTTGAATTGAGTTTCTCCCGCGAGGCTTTGCTGAAATCCCTTCTTTCTGGAACCAACACGCCTTAGTTTTTTTTTAAGATAATGTAGTGGGTAAATATTCTACATTTCGTACTCTTTCATAAATTAGTCATTGGTCTCTTTCCTAGGGCTCCAAAACTAGAATGGATGAATGGAGGATGCATGGAGGAATTGGTGAGGATAAGACAAACAGTTTAGGGTCAAATTTACAGTTTATACTCGCCTTCTGCTTCTTGGGTGTACCAATAAGCCACCTTTTTGAACAACTTGGCCCACTCTAATTTCATTCTTGATCTTGATGGCGTTTCGCGTTCTGTTCGTTTTGTTGTACTTGCTTATGTTCATTGTTAATGTGGTGCCGAAATCTTGTTCAATATAGGGAACGTTGTGAGGCATACCTGCGGGTGAAACAAGATCGAGAACGAAGTGTGCCTTACAGCCGTGCCTTTTTCGACGAATTTGCTCATTTGGCCCTAGGTTATTCTTTAGGCTGACTTTAGCAAGCCGTTTTTATGTAATGAATACGATATAGCCTATATAATGGGTTGCGGTGGCTAACAATGTGCCGTTAGTGGACCGTGCGCACGGGAAGTGGCGCCACTTGCTAACTCACCACTACCGGCAAAGTGGAGGTGAGGTGGAAGGATGTATTTTGGAGAGGGAGAAGAGGATGGAAATGATTGAAGTATTCTCTGAGCTGCCACTTTCTAATGTATTTGCAACATTGTGTGACACTTCCGTAGCATAGTTTTTTTCAGCAGTCTTTTGCCGCGACATTCAAGCCGTCTGAATTGGAGACGTCGAAAATCAGGCCACAGGTGATTACTCAGCCGTCTTCTTCGTTTTTTGTTGCTAGATTTCTTTCTTCAGATGATTTCCGATCCCCGTCCAGAATGGAAACGTAAGATCGATGAAATCAACGCCAAACTTCAAGCTGAAGC